CAAATTTATACCAGACCCTTTAGATCTAGTAGATATTTTAAGTGGGACCCCAATGCCAAAACATTTTTAAAAAGTGGGATCTTTCTAAAGTTCCAAACCAGACCCTTAATCTGAGCAGTGGCCTGGCAGGGCAGGAAAGGAGGGGGGCCTCCTACCTGAGCTGGAATGTCAACACACTAGAACTTGTTTTCTGTGAAGTTTCCATTTGCTATGTACAAAGAAAATAATAAATTGGAAACGCTGACCACGAAAAAGAAATGATAATGAGTTACACCTTTATTTAGCTCCTTTGAGAATATAAACTAAATGAAGTTTTAATCTGTGTGATAGGCTTTTAAGAATATACAGTTTTATTTTTTTACTTGTGCAACAAATGCTTTTTTCAGCAAATTTAAGTTTTTCATTGAGTAATAACAAACTGTGTTACAAAACAATAAAATATAGTTAGATAAGAAGATGATTTAAAGAGGAGAGAGGGAGTTAGTCCTGATTTACACAATGCTCTGAAAAAATAAAAAAAGAGAAAATTCAAGAAGAACTGATACTACAGTACAAAAAACAGTCTATAGAACCTCCCATAAAGAAAAAGTTTGAAAGCTGCAGTAATCCATATAAACAAAACTAATTCTAAAATACATACTGTATAATTTTTATTTATTTAAAGACTATATTTATTTATTTTAAGTTCACATACAGAACAGAGTATATTTCCCACCCCAGAGAACACAGCACATATAATTCAGGAAAGAGGCATATCTCCCTAGGAATCAAGGCCCTTTTACAATACAGTCAGGTCTGAATCTGGGAAGTTGTCTACATGGCGAAACATTCACTGCCAGCGTCACCAAATAAGAATGAGGTAGTCTAAAGTAATACAAATATTTAAGTCAAATTTCCTTGGAGAATAAACAGAAATAGTAAGGTAATACATCAAGGGTAGGCATTGGAGGGAATACAGGTGGGGTAGGGTATGAAGTAGGGGAGAGGGAGAGGGAAAAAGAGAGATAAGAGTGGTCAACCAGGGGTGTAGGATAACTCTATTATTATAAATAAATAGGCAAAGATCCGCAGAGGAGGCCTTATTTTATTTAATTATTTTATATAATTTACTAATTGCTTTATTATATCACAGGTGTTCTAGCTTCCTATTCAAGGGCATATTCAATTAAACTGGAAAAAAAAAGAAAATAAGTTGTTGTCTTTGGTAAAACATTGGAATGCTAGTTGAAAAGAGAAAACTAACTGCTTAAACATGAAATCCGATTAACTGCATGCTAATTTTATTTACTATAGTTTTAGTGCATCAGTGTTTTTTTGTGTATTTTGCGTCTAATACACTTAATTCAAAGCAACTCTATAAAGTAAATTATGTATGTAAATCCAAAACCTTTTATTTAGCATTGGTATAGTGTAGGGAGTGGTTAAGATCCTTCTAATTTTCTCCTTTCCTAAAACATCTCCTAGAAAGAGATTTCTCCAAAGCAAGTAGCTATCCTGACAGTTTTCAGATCACTTTCTGTGTTGGAGACAATGGTCACCAGACCCAGCAGTAAAGGTATCACCATCAGAGCACTGGCTAAGATCAAATGTAGTACCTGTTCTTATCAGTGTTCAGGAGGGGAAATGTGCCACTGTTCTGGCTTTATGGTAAGAATGTCTGGCTGCAGAGTACCCTGCCGGAGTTGATGGGGTCCCAAAGGGTCCTGGACAAAGGTTAGGGAAACTGAATTGAGCATCCACTCATGTAAGAGTGGAGGTCTGCAGTACTTTTTTTGGTCCGGGATCTGGAGGGTCCCAGCACCTTCTGATTTGAACAGGGCTACCTGGTCTGGTCATGGGCTGGGAAAGCAGGGAGCCCGTGGTATTAATTTTCCCACAGGAGTGATGCCTTGGAGGTGCTCAAGTAGCACTTTGAGATTGGGACCCTACTGTGTGAAAGGCACTCAGGCCACTTGCTTTTTCTGCACTACGCTTCTTGGGCAAGGCCTTTTTGCTAAGACCAGTGGAAATGTTTCATACCAGGCCCTAGGGCATAGCCATTGTCTTGCACATTGGCACTGTTTATTTATTTCACTTTTGTCTGTGCACTTCACTTTTTATATTTGTGTTATTCACTCCATAGGATAGAGGGTGTGGGTCTTCGGTTCTGTCTTGAGGTCTAGGGGGAGGATGTGTGGGCGTTCTTCCCCAATTGGTAAAATATTGTGAAATATATAAGTGCTATATAAATAAAGTAATAATAACCATATTATTTGTAATGGAAAGCAGTTTTTGGGTTTGGGTAGAAAAAGGATACAGTAAACTAATTTAATGTGACAAGGAAAAACAAACCCAGAATTGTATTTGAAAACTTGTAGTAACAACAGTCATTCTATAATCTTCCATGCATGGCATAACATTTTCCACGGAGTATGTGGTCACCATTAGGCACATGAAGACTAATATAGCTGCCTCTCTTTAATGTTATTTAAGCTAGTCATGTGAAAACTGTTATAGTGATGTTAATCTTTGTTACCTAAGATCATTTGCTCATCACGATGGCTTTGAAAAGCATTTGTCACATTGCTTAAAATGTGCAGATTTTTTTAAATTTCTACTGCACATCACAGATTTCCATGTGTAGTATAAGATATAATGGTTATTCCATTACTGTGTGTTTATACAGATTTATACACGGTCATCAAAGAATCATTATAGCAATAGTACCCATTGGCCTTAGCAAACAGTCACACAATTTAAATAATTCTCCCCCTGATACCTATAGCCATATATTTTCTTGTAACCAATGGCATAACTGTAGCCATAGAAACCCACATGTCTGCTTTGGGGCCTTGGCGAGGAAGGGGGCCCCATCTGGAAGGTTGGCAAATTAAACATATAGATCTGGTAGCCTGCGAAGATAGCACATATCCAGTACTGTATCATTAGGGTTTGGAGTGGTTGCAGTTGACAACCCTAATCCCCTGTAAAGTCTCCAGTCTAGAAAAGCTAAGTAGCTGCTTAGAGAAGGATATGAACAACTTTAATGCTTCTAACAGACTTTACATGGAGATATCACTGCTCTATTTCCCACAATGGTTTCCCACCCTGGAAATATGAAATGTGCAGGTGCCAAACTTGTTTGCTCCCTAATTTTACGTAAAACAAAATAGAAAAAGCCGCGCTCCTTGAATCAACCTAATATCACATTTATTTTTATCTTCACATCCTGGTCACACTCATCATCCCCATTCTACTTCCATCATCCCTGTTGTGTGTTTTCCCTTAAAGTGATATTAAAGTCAATGTTTTTTTAGCTATTTTAAATGGTGATTAAATAACTCACAATAAATGCTGCTCCTTGATGTTTACAAGTTTTAGTTTCCTGTAGAATCAGTTGGTCCCCTGAGCACTGGCCCTGATATCTTCTTTTAGGGTGGCTGCTTTCTCTTGCAGGGCCCTATGGTGCCACCCTTGTATGTGCTCCACAAACACTGAAGAACCTCCCTTGTCCTTGCTCTTCCTTCCTTCTCCCTTCTCCAAGCTAGTAGATACAGTTGCTGTAGATGGCTCTTTTCCTTGTGATCTTGTACTGGACTCGAAGTTCAGGAAAGTCGAGCTAAGAGAGTTGGAGCTAATTATAAACATGATGACTGTAAGTGCTTTGGCAAAAATGTTAAGAAATCATTTGCTGGGCAATTTATATTTGTGTGAGCCTGGATTAATTATTGAAAAAAAATGGAAGTTGAATTCTACTTTAAGCATTTACATATTCCGAACAAGCAGGTAAACCACTTTAAAATAAGCACTCAATGATCTCTGAGAGCTGAATCTTGGCAGCCTGGCAGTCCAGAAATAAAAAAAAAAACACTGCAGGTATTTCCAGCCTGTTAGAAAACTGAATCCCAACTTTAGAGTTTTTGCTGTGATCTTTGAGGATCTCTGAGAATGAATGACATCACAGTACAAGCAGTTAGAGAGGTCAGAGATGGCTCATTATAAATCTCCTTTGCTGCTTGTTGAGAATATGTAAATACTTAAATGTACATAGCCTGGACACAAGTGCACTTTAGTGTGCCATTACTGGTTGCACAATTAGTAAATAGTGTTAGATTCATCAGCCAGCCTTGCTACACATCACTCTTGAATGTATATAACACATGAAACTCTATAAGTGATGAAACACGCATGTGTATGCAATTGTTTGAGAGCATGGTTCATAATTGTTGGACAAAACCTAGTTGTTAATATTGATAAAAAGGAATAAACTGGAACTTCTTGTATTCTTAAAACAGTAGTAAACGGCTGCGAGCTGGGTGGGTTTTTGCAATAATGTGCACAGCATACTTGCACAATATGGCGTATTTACCTTCAAGTGTGCCCTTCTCCAGCGTTGTGCAATGCATCTTCAGTCCCCTGCCGCCGCCTTTTTCAACACCGCCACTTCCCCAGCATCCTCTTAACCATTAGGTGGTCACTGATGATGTGACTCCTACTCATGTGCACAGGAGTTCCATCCTCCCTGGCATCAGGGCCATTCATGGTATCTTAGAGATTACATGAATGAGCTGAGAGAGTACACTGGTGCATGTGCCATACAGTGTACAAGGCAAGAGAGGAAGAAGTGTTTTTAGCAGAAGAGACTTTGCATTGCTCTTATGCCAAAAAATCCCTACCTCCGAGCAATTTTTTATTTTTCTAACTTTACTTCTGCTTTAATATGTTCTTGAAAATGCCTTTAAATGTATGCTTATCTGTTGTGTTATCACTATTGTATTGGAAACCAAATTTGAATGCCGTTTTTCTAGCTAGAAAGCAACAGAAAGCATCTGGATGATTGCTAAAGGCAATAGCGCACATTTTCTCAAGCATTACTTCTTCTAAACTACTTCCACAAGCAGTTATGTGCTGCACAGGCAGGTGTAACCTCTGCTTTACATGCAGTACATTGTGAAATGCCAATGTTGCTTTCATTGTAGCGGTTATGTTTATTTTCACAATTTTTTTTCTTTACTTTTCAGACAATTGTGTAAACGTCATGTACAGCCAATGCCAAATGCTGCCGTACAATCTCACCGTTCCCAAATCTGTGTACTCCTTTGTGAAGAGCATCGATATGGAGATGTTCTTAAAGTTCTTTAGCTATCTCAGCCGCCTCAGCTGCTATCAACACATCATGCTGTTCGGCTGTAGCTTGGCTCTTCCTGAATGCATCAGTCTTGGCGATGACAGGTATTTGGGAGCTCAAATCATCAATGATTACAATCACTCTCTGTGGAATACTTGTTATCTAATCTGTACTAAACTATTTGTGTGCTAAACACATGACTTAGCAGAGGAGGCATGACAGCAAAACATTTGTCACATTGCTTAAAATCAAGCTCTGGAAGGATTTCCTTGGAAGTAACTTTGTGAACCAAAGACATATGCAGGCCATACAAGGGGCAATCTTCCAAAGCACTTAAACTAGCTTTTGATCACAAAAAAAGATTGATGGGTCACTCTAAAAAATTTAATTGCCATTATACATTTAGTGTACAAGCCCGTATATACTTAATATGATGTATATGGCTTAATGGGAAAGTGTAGTGTATTATATTGAGAATTTGTTTTTATTGCAGCATTAAAGCTTTTATTTATGTGACTCACACTTTTTAAAAATACTTTCTGTTCCATATTTTCGCTGTTGTGTTAAATATAGAGCTTTGTAGAGTAGCCCCTTAAGTAAACAATCATTTATTTGCAACCAATCCTCCCACCTTCTGAAATAGTGTTTGGATTTAACATCGACCACATAGGGAGTGCTTTTGTTTCTACGAGTTAGCCCATATCATAAGCTTGCATTGTTACATAGTTACATAGTATTTGAGGTTGAATAAAGACATTAATCCATCAAGTTCAACCTATTAGGATCTCATTCTAGGAGTACCTGTACCCCTGTATATTACGGTCCCTTAAGAAATCGTCCAAAAGTTTCTTGAACAATTCCACATTATTTGCTGAAATCACCGCTTGGGGCAGTGAGTTCCAGACCCTAACTGATCTTACTGTGAAGAACCCCCTGCGCCCCTTGAGCTGGAATTTTTTTCCCACCAATTTTAGGTTATGGCCTCTAGTTTTTGTAATGGAGTTAATTTTAAACAGTTTATCGCTAATGTTGCTACCACCATTGAACATTTTGTACATGGAAATCATATCCCCCCTTAATCTCCTCACCTCCAATGTGAACATTGTGA